CAGTGATGTCGTCAGTGCCTGACTTGATACGCGGAGCGTATGCACAAGACGACATGTGCGTAGCGCTGCTACGGGCTCTTGGGAGCGAAGAGTTTAAAGACTCTGACAAGGAATTGTCTGGGCGCTTACGCGCGAGGCTGCATCGATACTCGCTCGATGGCGGCCTGCTGTACTACAGCACCGACTCTGAGGATAACCCTCGTGTAGTCGTTCCTCATGATGAGGATCTAAAGTATCGAATCCTCTATGAGGTTCATGATACGCCCGTGGGCGGGCACTTAGGTCGGGAGAAGACCTATGGCTCGGTGAGCTCGATGTACTGGTGGCCCAAGATGTATAAGTGGGTTGGCACTTATGTACGCACGTGTGAGACGTGTCAACGGACGAAGTCCGCGCCGAGCACGGCAGCGCCATTGGCGAGTTTGCCTGTCCCCAAGGGATGTTGGCAGTCCATGAGTATGGACTTTGTGTTTGGCCTTCCCAAGGACAAGGCAGGAAACACGGGTATTGTGGTCTTTGTAGACTGATTGAGCAAGATGGCTCATTTAGCGGCGGTGCCGGACACCATAGATGGTGAAGGTACAGCTTTGCTGTTTTTAGACCGAGTCTTTCGCCAACATGGCTTGCCTGAGGCAATTGTCTCGGATCGAGACCCGCGCTTCACCGCGAAGTTCTGGACGTCCCTCTTCAGAGTGCTTGGCACTCGTTTGGACATGTCCACAGCGGACCATCCGCAGACCGATGGTCAAACAGAACGCGTGAATCGCGTTGTGGAGGATATCCTTCGAAGCGTATGCGCTGAGGCGCCAAAACGCTGGAGCCAGATGCTCCCACTCGTCGAGTTCGCATTAAATAATGCAGTGCACGCCTCGACAGGCTACACTCCGTTCTATGTGAACGGCTTGGTTAACCCTCGCGTCCCACTGACGCCGCCACGCAGTGGCTCAGGGCTTGATGGGGGAGGGATAGCCGAGCGGCTAGCTGATGTCAGCCCTGTTGCGGTTCGCAAGCAAGTCAATGACTTTGTCTCTTTGAGACTAAGCGTAATGCGTCAAGTACGCGACGCTATGGCTGAAAGCCAAGATATGCAAAAAGAACATGCAGATGCCAAAGGCCGACGCAATGAAGAAAGGTTTGAGGTCGGGGACCAAGTTTTATTAAATGCAAAAAACCTACCTACTCATGCAGTGTCTGCAGTCTTTAAGACAAAATTGAGACCACGGTTCATAGGACCGTTCAAGGTCGTGGCCAAGAAGGGCCTAGCGTATACGCTTAACCTTCCGAAGAAGATGCGCACGCATCCAGTCTTTTACGTTGGCTTACTCAAGCCGTATCAGGACCCTGCTCAGGTGAGCGCGGAGGCGTTGGCGCCAACGGTGGCTGGGCCACGACAGGCTGCGCAACAGCGGGAGGCCGAACCACGGCAGGCTGAGCGACAGCAGGTGGCGGGGCCACAAGACGCAACAGCAAGTCGATCTGACCTTGCAGCTGAGCGACTTGACGCTCAAGGTCCACGACTCGGTTCTGAACCGACTGTGGCTGTTCAAACCAGTCCACGCGGTGGTTCGTCTCATCGAGACCATCTGCAAGGCGACTCAGAGAGTCAGTCGTATCATGGAGATACTGGTTCAGGGAACCCACACGTTGCTCCAGCGCGAACACGTCGCTGCGACTCGCGACGCGAGAGTCCAGCTGAGGCTCGGCCTCCTCCTGCTCTGCTCGACGAGCACGGCGAGCTCCACTTCCATGTGGAACGCCTGGTGGCGAGGCGCAGGCGCCAGGGTCGTACTCAGTACCTTGTGAAATGGAGGGGTTATCCTCACTCACAAAACTCTTGGGAGTTTGAGGTTGTCCTCCGGCAGGACTGCCCTGACGTCGTCGACGCTTTTGATCGGGCACACTCACTGCCCCGCCGCTACGGCGTACGACCGCGTCGTCAGGCGCCGAGCGCTTCCCGCCGCTAGAACGCGGGGATGACAGGTCGGTGGCTGAGCTCAAGCTCCGACCAGTGGCTGGAGCAGCCGGCTCATAGGAAAGAGCGGTGCTTGCAGCATGAGCAAGAGGTGGTGACGCCTCGAGGTGATGGGGACGGGGTCCCAGTGTTCGTCGACGTGCTTTCGACTTAGCGAAGTCTAAGCGCAAACGTCTCTCAAGACGAATATCAGTTTCAGAGAAACTTGCTCGAAGAGCATTGTAGGAGGGGAGCCGTCGAGCTCCCTCCACCCAGCTTCGGAATTGTGCTTCATAAGCACGCTGGGATTCCCCAGGGTTGAGAACAACCGGGATGGTTCGCATAGAGGGAACCGGTTGGCGGTTTAGCTGCATCTGCAGGCGCGCCTGATACTCCTGAGGAGTTGTGACTTGTGGAGTCACATATCGCTCTCGGAGCCGGTGCCGTTGCACTTGCTCATCAGCAGTCGAGGCCGCAGGCCCACACGTGTACGTGTTCAGCGGCTGCTGCGCCGCGAGGCGGGCCGCTTCGGCAGGGTTCCGCGGCTGGAAGCCGTAGTCACGGCGTGACGTTAGAACAAGTGGTCGGACCACAGGTCGGAACGACTGCGAGCGCTGCTCATTGGACAACTGACGGCCTTGGGCCTCGTCCAGGTCATTCGTAATGACGTTGTGATCGTATCGATCTTCCTCGTCATACCGCGACGATAGCGGTGGCGCATCGCGCAGCGAGCGAAACGGATTCGAACGTTCAGAGAACGGATGCGGTATCCGCAGGTCTCTTCTTGTTGGAGATCGCGCCGTTGAGCGGCTAGACCTCACAGAGGAAGCTGGGGAAGACGCGGCACCAGCGTGCGACCTCGGAGAGGTTGGGTTGGAGTGATCCTCACTACCCATGGGCTCGTCGTAATCGACTTCGCCCTCTTCGAGTTCCGAGAACAGACCATCGTTCCCTCTGGGCGGCGCCCGCGGCTCTGACGAGCTTTGAGCTTTGCTCTCTTCTTGTTGACGGCTCATGGAGCGTTGACCGTGTCGACGGCGATACTCTTGGTGGTACTCCGCCACCGAAAGAGACGAAGATGCTCTTGGAGCAGTTGCGGAGCGCAGTTGGGGGTCTGGGACCGACGAGGCAGGGGCGGCGCGACGCGCTGGAGACGTTGGGCCGTGGGCCGGAGTGGGAGTGCCAGGCATCAAGGATGCGAACGCGTTTGTGAGCTCGTGGAGCTGCAGAACGCACAGGTGAGGTCTAGTGACCTCCGTCGTCTTGACAAGACGTGACCTCGCTGAGGAAAGTTCGAGAACGGAATGTTCTCATCTTAGTGAGGGAGAGTGTAACGGGGTTACATGGTGTGGAACACACAGGGGTACGAAGTACCCGGAGAGTTAACAAACTCTCAGTACATAAGTTGGAGAGTTAACAAGGTCTCTCAGTACGTTGGCTGAAAGCCACACGTTATGCATTTGATTAGGTTTAACTATGCTAGATAGTTAAAGAGATACATTTACCCCTAGGCGGCTTGGCCGCAATAATAGTAAATAAATCACTTCTGGTTTTGAAGCATAAAAGTTAAGGTGTTAACTTTGAGCCCTGGTCTTGGGCTGTAAGTGTCCTTTGGATAAGGAACTTAGTATTAGTGACTCTTTGAGTCGAACGTCTTCCTCTGACGCTAAAGCTACGGCAGCCCCGCTGCAGCCATGGCTGGAATTTACCCGAGGAGCGAATGCAAGCGCGATGTCCGGTTCGTGTTTCCAAAACAGTTCGTTGAAAAGTGTCAAGTTGCTGCACGGGGCTTTCGCAAGAGTCTGGTTGACGATTGCGCCGAGGTCAGTATTGGGGTTCGAGTGCCGCGGCTTGGAATATTTCAGCACAGCGATATTGTTGCGATGGCTAAGTGACATGGATGTGTGGAGTATATAACCGCAACTGAGAAGGCTATCAACTGGGCAGATAGCGCATGCGTCAAGCGCTTCAAACTCCCTGATGCAATTTCGGACGGCGTTAGCACCGATAAGAAAGAGCGGGAGCGAGCTATAAATCATATAATACTCCGCGGTGGACGTGAAACTTTATTTGACAGTACTCGCTTCTAACCCTGCGGGGGGATATCTGAATGGATGACAATTGTATGGGTCACAGAATTGCTTTGCTCCAGAACACGACAATATAGGCGTCATCAACCCAATATTCAGTCTGTTTAACAAGCGGAGTGTACAGCTTAGCGCCATCAACGCTGGTAACCCTTTCAAGAAGACGAACAAGATCGTCCTTCTACCGCTACATGTCGACAACAATCACAAGTGTGGAGCCGTCTGATCGGAGCGTCGAGGCATCGTGCTGTTCGACCCTTTGCAAGCCCCCAAGTCCAAGTACTACGACGAATGCAAAGAACAACCGAAAGATCTATTCGGGAAGATATGCGTGCTCTTGCATACCAAGAGAGACACAAATGCACGCCAGCCCGACGGCTCAAGCTGCGGTGCTGCAGTGCTAGCTTTTTTAGTGCTACCTGAAAGACGTCATCAAGCCATCAAAGCCAAGCCCAGCTGTGATGAGATTCCTAAGGTTGCGATACATGCTGAAATGCTTGATATAGATCTTCTTCACATGATTGCTACTGTAAAAGAAGCTGCTCTGCGGGTATGTATGAATGCTAATGAGTAATGTATAGATGTGCTTTGTGATACCATTCAATCATCTTTTACGCAGACTAATATTCACTTGAGGGTACGCATTGACCTATGATAACCGCGGCATCAGCACTTCCGCAACAACTAAGTAATCTGTCCTCTCCGTCTAAAGCACCCCGAGTATTGCGGTATCCCGGATATTCACAAAGGATTGTACTTGTATACCTTCAAGTAACATTGTTATATGGAAGCCACTTTCGCGTACACTTGGCGACAAATGCCGAAATATTTGAATCTGCTGCAGGTATTTTACAGTAGATTACCCCCTTTTTCTGTTCTGTGTACCTAGTGGTACTCGAAGCTGTAGCTCTAAGTCTCACTTAAGTACGATATACTCGGTGACTCTAACATCGACCATTAATCTAATCGGTCGGATCACCGAAATAGCGGATCACACCATGGGAGACTTGAATGAGACTGTCATCCTCAAGCGAACGAAGTGCCATCTGAAACTCGGCTCCTTTGACTTCGCTCTTGCGCTTTTCTTCCAGACGCCGACGAGTTTCGTGAACTGTCATCGACTGGTTCGGAGTCTCGCCCAAAATCTCCTTCATCCTAACAATGAGATCAGCCAGCACCTCGCGCTCCAGCACACTGTGCCCCGTGTTGATCATATCCATGTCGATAGTTCCCGTCCGCGGATCCATAGCTGCTCTTTGTGTCGCCACGTTCATAAGACGCAACGCTTCATCGACATCACTTCGAGTCACAGTCTCGCACAGCTTGAGCTTTGCAAGCGCTTCGGAAATACGGATAAGTGACTCAAGCTGTCGCGGCGTAGCTGTGATGTTCTTCTTTGCCGAAGCAGCGCTAGCGCCGCCCATTCGTCGAAGATCTAAGTAGGAGCGGATGAGACCGTCTCGGGCCTCAGCAGACAGACGTGGGTGAATGTTGCGTTTGGCATACGAAATGTACTCGGTCAGCAGCTTCATGCTGATAAGCTGCGGTGCTCCCACTCCGCCTCGATTTTGAGCACGCACACGCGCGCGGGTCTCTTCGTCGTAGTAAAGAGTAACGATATGTTTTGCGAGTTTCCGGTCCGACTCAGGTTGCGGCTTGTCGAGGATGAGGTAGATAAGATCGAAACGTGAGAGAAGTGTGGGCAAAATGTTCACATTCTCCACTACCGACTTGTTTGGGTTGTAGCGCGACTCGATGGGGTTGGCAGACGCAAGAATCGACGCTCGAGCGTTAAGAGAGCAGATGATACCAGCCTTGGCGATACTGACTGTCTGCTGCTCCATAACCTCGTGCAGCACGGAGCGAGCGGAATCACTCATCTTGTCGAACTCATCAATACAGCAGATACCCTCGTCAGAAAGAACCAGAGCGCCCGACTCCAGCACGAGGTCGTTTGTTTCCATATCGCGGATAAGCGAAGCCGTGAGACCGACGGCTGAACTGCCTTTGCCTGAAGTGTAAATACTTCGCGGTGACAGCTTGTGCACATACGACAGCAGCTGAGACTTTGATGTACCAGGATCACCGCACAGCAGAACGTTCATATCCGAGCGCATACTCTTGCGTTTAGGTGCCACACCTCCGTGGCCGTGCTCGCCCTCATCTTCGTTCACGCTACCGCTACTTCCATCTTTTCTTGTGCCACCAAATAGCATGCACAAGATTCCCTTCTTAACGTCGTCCAGTTCCCAGATTGATGGTGCCAATGAATGAGCCAAATTCTCGTACACTCGGGGGTGCGATGCAATACGGCGGAAAGCTGTGAGCTTACGTGCCTGCTGTGCATCAGCCGCAGCGGCAGCATCTTCGTGCTCTTCCAGAGGGTCTGGCATCTCGATGTCGATATCTGCGGGGCCAATCACGCTAGTCTCAACTTCCTCCTCCCGGGCAACCGAGCTGAGACTCTCGCCATTCTCGCCCTCTTCACGTCTGGTGAGCTCATCCACACGACGGAAATGTACAACATCCACGTACGTCTTGAAGACAGACTTGACTACGCGCTGACGAGAGTTTGAACGCATCGGTACAGCGCGGTAAATACCCGTCACTTCGACCTTGTCACCAGGTCGCACGCCGTCGACGAGGTCATCGAACGCGAACAAGAGCACTGTGTACGGCGTCTCACCCTCAGGAATGGCGTCGGGTGTCTCCTGCATCTTGATCATTTGCTTGTCTGTGAAGGCGCAACGGTTGTGAATCATCTCCATGCACATTCGGGCTTGACATCGTGTACAACTCGTAGGTTCCTCAATGCGGCCACGGTCCAAAGCCACTTGTGTCGTCGCATGGCACATCGCGCAACGAAAAAACGCTTCCTTCAGGTCAGGCAAGACACCACTGCAACGAGTAACCATACCCTTTAGACACACCAACTGGTCGATATCTGCGGGGTTCAAATGACGCATGGGAGATAAATCTCGCAAGTTAAACGGTCGAATCTGAAGCGCCACGTTTGCCAAGTTGTCAATTGCTGCCGGGCCGGCTCCTGGACCGGCCAGCAGCGCCTGATACTCTTCTGTCACCACCATATCGAGGATACGGATGAGCACCTGAGGGAACAAAATCAACTGGTTGTACAATTTCCGTGCGCCGCGAAATTGCCTCAAGTGCTGCGTGTCCAAATCCAGCACGAGCGATTGGGTCAGCACCAGTCTCCGCAGCGACTTGATATAGTACGGCTCGTCACTGGCGTCACTATTTTCCTGCCTGAATTGGTGCAAGAATCCTCTAAAGAGCTCCATGCTCTCGGATATACTAATGTTGGTGCCCCAGACAACGGCACCTGAAAAAGCCTGCTGCTCCTCCTGCTGTTGTCTCTGGAGCTGCGAATATGCCGTCGTCGACGCCGACGCAGACGCAGAAGCCGACGCACTGGACCGCGGTGAACTGGGCGGCGACGCCGGCGGTTGCGGCAGTGACGCCTGAGTGGGTGCCCGCATGCCGGACCTGCTACTGCGGATACTGGCCACGGAGCTGCTACTGGGAGAAGACGGCGCCCCGTCGTCCAGGTTCACCACGTGTGGCCCTTGTTGGAAGCTGTCGAGTATCCACTCACGACGGCCCAGATCCCCACGCGGCAATTGACGTTGGGCCATACGTCGCAGCTCTGCCTCCACGTCGTCTCCGCCCTGCCCGACCGCGGCATCATCGGATGTGGCTCCGTGGCGACCCAAATATCGAGGCGCCGGCGTGACATCCACCGACGCGCTCATCTCTGCGAAATCATAGCGGTTGGGCATGTATGTAGCAGAGACGGCAGACGCGGACATTGCGGAGGCTGAAACGGACGCCGACATTGGTGACATCGGAGACACGGGCTGACCATCGTCGCGCGGTGCCTGCGCATGAGCTGATATGGAGAGAGGGGGTTCAGAGAGGGGAGACGTTGGGACCTCGCGTGTCAGATATCGAGGCGGCGGTCGTGTGGGGCTCGTAGGCGAGGGCGGTGTCGCTGGGGGCGTTCCATTCGCGTCCATGGCTGATCCAGTTTGCGCTTCCCGCCAAATTTTGTGCCAAGATATAAACGCTATTCGCAAATTGCTGGGTTGGACGTCGCACATAAAATACATTCCCCAAAATCTGTCGTACTGTACATGCGGCTCTTGCTACTCCTACTGGAAAAAAAACATTGAAGTCAAAGCCATGTTTTTTTGATCAATGTTAGAGGTACCGAGTAGCTCGTACTTAAGCGAATGTTAGGGTTACACTGTGTGAGTGACTCGAGCCACTTCGTGTTAATTGGTCCCGAGATACGTACTACGCGAAAATATATTACGGTAATTTAATTTTAACAAATTAAAAAATTCATCATTTTTAGAGATATCGGTGCTTGCGACGACAGCCAGTCACGCGACTGGTAGCATGAAGTGTTGCTGTAATGTAACTGGAATGCATGAATGTCACCCGAGGTACGAAGCACTTAGTGAGAATTTGCCTGACGAGTACTGCTAGAGTAGAGCAGACCATGACCAGTATCTTTCACTTTACGCAGCTCAACAGTATCACCGCAGCACGCACACATTGGAATCAACAGACAGAGGCATCACAATGCGAACTACAGGGGTACATTATCTTCATGTTATCGACTTCCTAACTCGCCTACTGCAGGCACTTTTACATGTACCGAAGCCTAAAAAAAGCATTGAGGCATGGCTGAGCTTTTCCGGCATATCGATACCGGTGAGGTAGCACTCAAAGAATAGTAAAATAGCTGCTCCACAGCTTGAGAAGTCCGGCTGGCGTACATTCGTGACTCTCTGAATCGGCAAGGGTATGGAGCTGTCTTCACCTTCTAAAAACACGTCTTTCAGTAGTTCTTCGCATTTGGCGTAATATTTTGACTTGGGGTCTTGCAAGGGGTCGAACACCAGGACTCCTCGACGTTCGCTGCGATAATCGAAAATTGCTCCACACCAGTGGTTGTTGTCTATGTGTAGCGGCAACAGAATGATCTGGTTCGTTTTCTTGAGAGGCTTGCCTGCATTAATAGCCCTGAGCCGGGCGTCTTTATCGTGGAAACGATTGAAGATCGGGTTAACGATGCCAACATCCGGGTGTTCTCGTTGGAGTAGAGCAATCCCATGCCCCATGCATGAATCATCCATCCAAATATTTTCTCGGAGCGTTAGTAGTCCGTTATAGGGCACACTACCGAACGAAGTCTCGCGGCCATTCTTCAGAAGAATCCGCCTGATAATAACTTCCCGTTCTGTCGGATCGCTGCTGACTCCGTCATCAATCTTTACCGGTAGAGACAAGCGCTTGACGCTAGTGTTGACAGACCAAGTAATCGCATCTTCAGTGGCAGATAAATACTGCATGGAGGCGTGCCATCGGTCCATCGCGACAATGTCCTGGTATTGGAATATCCCAAAGCGAGGAACTCTTACACCAATAGTGTCGTCATCGACAGTTTCAATCAAGCCTTTTCGAAACGCTGCGACCGCAGCCAGGCATTTTTCCACAAATTGTTTTGGAAACACAAATCTGACGTCACAGATGCACTCATCCTCAAGATAAATACCAGCATTCGCCTTATTGGTCTTTGGAACAGCTCGAATAGTGAGATTGGGTAGCACCTTCTTGGCGTCTTCATAGGTGTAGTTGTTGTCCAACAGTTTAGCAATGTTCCGTACGCTTGGAACTGGTGCCAGCGTCCCTTGTACCAACTTGGAAGCCTTCTTCTTGCTATTCTCGATCCTCTGCTTCTTTTCTGCTTTTCCTTGCTTCTTTCTGACTTGGGGACGTCCCCGACTTTTTGCGCTCTTTGTTATCACAAATGACCCAGACTGCGAGGATTCTGACGAACTGCTGCTAATGTGCTGGCGCTTGGACTGGCTTGGATTTTGTTTGAAATCAGACATACTTGCTGCATCCACCTCTGGGGTGGTTAAAGTCACACAGGAATTGCCTCTAGTTACACACAGTGGTTCTTGTGTAGCAGGAGGGGTCAAAGTCACGTGGGAAGTACCTCTAGTCACACACGGTGTAACTGTAGGCTCTTGCATTGTAGCTAGAGGTGCGCTCTGTTGAGTCGGAGGTTCGTCATCGTCCGAGTTCGCTGTGGAAGTGTTCTTGATTTTTTCTTCATCTTCCGTATCGCTTTTCATCACAGCATCCTTTGGTTCAACAGCATTGGTATTTACCGTAGGCGAAAATGTCAGCGACGATAGCTGTGAAAGCGGGTCTACCCATTCACCTTCTCGACCAACAAATGGTGCAACACCGTCCTTGATAATGTCTTCAAATTTCTCCAAGGCGTTCATCATTTCTCCAAATACAAACGTTCCGTTCCTGCTCATAATGTCTGCAATACTCTTTCCACACACGAGAGCGTGCTTGTACTTCGTCGTCCCATTTAAAACGTGATGGCGCCTTGCTGTCATAGCAGAGTCACGGACTTGGAAGGTTGTGCACGCAACTGTTTTGTCTGGTACGTCTTCTTCTGGCGCAGGTTGATTCAGCTTGCACGACAACCTCCAACGGGGTGCAATGTACCGAATAGGAATTGCCTGTTTTCCACGTAAAAGACGCCAATACATGACGTGCCGGCATGGAAGCAACATCGTCTTCATGAATACACATGAGCAGTGATATCTCTAAAGGCACGCAATAACAGCGACGTACGTTAGGGTTTACACGGGCCAGAACGGGTGACAAACTTACCGTAGTGTCGACATGATAGCATGTACTGGTGTCGCCACCTCCGGTCAGGACAAACAGGCTGGAATGTATTTCCTCCACGCCGTAACTTGTCTTGCGATCCTTAGACGCCCAATACTGCTCTTCAACAAGCCGGTACGCATACGGGCTGACTTCGCGCGCTAGCTGTTCAAGCTCGTGATCTGCACCATCATAACGCATCTGGCCCACGTCTGTAATTTTCTTTCCGTACTCCATCTCTGCTACTGCTTGCAAGAACATCAGCGTATCTACGCACTCATCCAGCGCCATCTCCGGGTTTCAGAAATCTTCTAGTATAGGAACCACGAGTATGTTTTCAGACTCTAGCAGAACCCCCCCAAACCCCCGAGCCAAAAAACACATTTAAGAGGTGAGTCTGAAAACTATAAGGCTCGGAAAATGTTACCTTATATGGGTGTGGGTGGCCTAGATTGTGAAACTTCGCAACGTGCGTACAGCGCCCATCGTTCTTTTCTCGAATTCCCCGTTTTTCCGGAGGTATATTTCTCAAGAAATGGATGCGTAGGCACAGGTACAGGGTCTTCACGTTTAAGACGAACACCTTCCAGCAAGAAGTATAGATACTTCAGATACTTAACGTACTCATCCGTAGAAACCGCCAGCCGCATCATATCGATAGCATCTTCAACTTGGTCTTTGTCGAAGCTGGACGGGCCTCCATACTCGCTCTTTGCCAGCTCGGTCCGAATATACTTCTTCAAATGGAAGTGACACAGAATCACTTTCACGCTAGGGAACTCCATTTCTAGTAATCCCAATTCACCCATGTCCTTGTCAATCACAATTACCCTGACTTGCTCCCACGAAGAGTGGTTAAACTTGAACGACCCGATAGCATCTGAAAGACACTCTGCACTTTCGTTCTCCATGAGACTGTGGTGTACGTATTGACCCTAGCATTACGTTAACAACTCATAAGTAAGAATTTGTACATATTAAGTACATGTTGTAGCTGAAGCTACGCAAACAGTAAAAGTGTAGCTAGAGGCACATATGATGTAACGTCAGGTACATTTACTTACATGTCCGTACACATCGTTAACCATGAACGAGAAGAGCTTGTAGCGCGATTCGTTGGTGTTATGCGTCGCGTCAATGAGCATCACTTCAGGAAAAGCCTTGAATCAGCGTCGCATTTGTCTCGTCTGCAACGCGATGGTCTGTGCAGTTTTGGATTCGTCGACGTAAACGGTTGCTCGGTTTCCACGACATTCGCAAATCCCTCGCAAGACAGTATCCAGCCGCTCTTCAGTAGTCGCACCTCCCCTTCGTCTCTCCTTCATCCTCGCCACCATGTTGTGTACATCTCGAAGCACCACACTTTTTCCTACATGGAGTCCAAAACAAGAAAGCTATCAGTCACTATATATAATTCTGGGTTGAGTTAAGCGCACCCACCTGTCTTTTTTCGCAGGAACTGCATAATTAGCTTCGGCTTAGAACCAGCAGCTTGGAGTTCATCCACGAATGCCAGTATGTCCGGATCCTTCACGCGACGGTTCGACACATGGTTCTCAAATGTAGCGCGAGACACATTGTGGTTGTGTCTGACGTCAAAGTCAGTGACGCGTACCATGAACGTGTCGTGTTCATCGTTCCATACGACAGCAGCCTTAATGTTTGCCTTACAGCCTGTAGTCTTCTCGAAAAACGACCTTCGTATCCCCTTTCCACGGCTCTTGCGCTTCCACCCGTGAGTACAGACCAACTTAATCCAGAAATTTCCGAACTCCTCAGGGATCAATCGATCCGACGTCTCATCAGTAACTGTGTTAGTCGTGCCGGAATCATCTGGGTCCTTCGCATTACCACTCAGGTTTGCTCGCGCCTTAATTTCTCGATTTCTCTTTTGAACCGACGTGGACGTGCGCTGTGGAAAGATCTGGTGTGTCTCCTCTTGGTAGCGCTCCATGTATTTGCGGAAGGCATCCCAGCTTTCATGCCACTCGACATCAACTGGGGGACAGAGCCACGAGACCCCAGGAGGGACTTGCCGCTCGAATTCACTGTCGCTCATTCTGATTGCACACATGAGAACCACAGAATACGCTCTTAGCTTACCTCCCCCCCCCCCTCTAATCTACATGAACATGCATGCTCACCTTCAGAGCTGTCGTGTGTCTTCGTCTCGTATTAGAGTTTAGGAGGGGCGCGTGGCTGATGTAGTGCGCGGGAATTTTTTGGAATGAAAGGCTCATAGATTTTGGGGATGGGAGAAATGGGGGAGAGGGGGTGTCTTTTTCAGAAATCTTGTTTTTCAGAACTGAGTTGAAATTTACCTCGGACAGTATTTTATCGTCAAAATTACGAAGGTACTACTG